TATTTTGAAGGTGAAAAGATCCCCTACTACTAGTCTTACATCTTCCACTTATCAACACATCTTTTAGTGACCTTGTCACAAATGGAGTGGATCTATATGAAACGAGTTCTTAACACCTTTTATGTTCTTTTTCTAAGGGAGAATTTTTATGAAGCTTCTACCCACTGATGATTTCCTCAAGCTTAAATGCTTAAAGGGACTTTTATGTTGCTTATTGTGTAAATCAGAAGAGGAATCCTTGGAACAAGTGTTTTTTAACTGCCTCTATTCTAGAAGTGTTTGGCAGAATGTGGTGAGTCACATTTCCATTTCCACCTTTATTCTCAACTAGCAGAACTTCTGGACATTCTGGTTTGAGTGGCAGGATGCCAAGCTACATGCCATACCTTGAATAGTGGCTTTTTTTATTTGGATGGATAAGAGTAATGCAAAGTTTGATGAACTCCATTTGTCTCTTATGAAGGTTTCTAGCCACTATCTTGCATTTATCCATATACTCATATTGCTAAAGAAATTTCCCACTATCTGAATTGATATTACTCCTCCCATCTGATTTAATCTCTCTAAAGCTATTCTTGTGCAGGGGTAGAGACATTCACCTCCTTCGGTCAAATTCAATATATATGGAAGTTACTATGACAACCATTCTAGCATTGGCGGAGTTCTCAGGGATAGTACAAGTCACTGCTTACTATTTTTTCAGTCCTCTATAACTGCTAGGGATGTTGTGGAAGCTGAAATCATTGCAATATATTGGGCATTGAAGTTCTCTCTCCTCATTCCATTCACACATGTTCAAATTGAATCAGATTACCAAGCTACTCTCAACTATCTTCTTAAAACTGATAATCCCCCCTAGCATGTTACTCACTGGTTGTGGAGAATCTCCTCCTTGATTTGCCTTCTCCATGTCAAGTTTTTGCTCAGTTTTAGGGAAGGGAATAGGCCTGTCAATTGGCTTGGAAAAAGAGGTCGGATTAATAATGATGTGGTTATTGGCAAAGAGCCTCCCCCTATGCTATCGTGTTTTTTTTTGGTAAGGAATAACCTTAACATCCCCTACATTAGATTAGTTTATTTATAATAGGTATATATATATATATATATATATATATATTGGTGGCAGGGTTTGCTCTGCTTGGGTTTGTGATTTGATGGCTCCTTCTCGGTGGTGTGGTGGTGCATGGTGGTGGGTTCTTGGAGGTTCTGTTTCTGGGTGGTCTGGTGAGTTGGTTGGAGGTGTTGTAGGGAAGTTTAGCTTTGCCCTTTCTTGGACATCTGCTTTTCAAATCATGGTTATTGTTACATTGCCTGTTGAGTTTCTGGTGGGTAGTGTTAGTTTGGTTTTTTGCACCTGGTGGTAGTCTAAGCTCCTGACCTATTTTGGTTGGGTGTTTGTAGTACTATACCTCTTCCCGGGTTGTTCTTTTTTGAATTTTTTATTGTTCCATTGTTGTCCTGGTGGCTGGGTTGTTTTACTTGGTTACTAGGTTCTAATTCCTCTTATTTTGGCTGTAGCTTACCCATGGATGTTGAAACCAATGCCCAATGGGCTAAGGCCACTTATGCTGGTGTTGTTGGCAAAGGGAATGACACCCCTAAGATTTTTGATCATTTGGTTTTTCCTCAAGCTCTCCAGGGATGTTGCTGCTAGTAAAGGTGTATGTCCCTACATTAACCCTCTTGGAATGAAGGATGGTGAGCCTGCTATCATCTTTACTACCCATGAAATTCAATCTCTTACAGATGCAGTCAAGTTTACATTGATAGGCAAATTCCAATTTGGCCATCCTAAGATGGATTATGTTAGGAAATATTTTGATGATCTCAATCTCCTTGGGGACTGGAAATAGGGCTTAATGGATGGTAGACATCTATTGATTAAACTTTCTAATGAAAAAGATTATGCTAGATTGTTTGCTAAATAATCTCACTTGATTGTCGGGACTCCTATGAAACTTGTGAAGTGGACCCTTAATTTTGATCCAAATAAGGTGCCTCCTATTGCTCTAATTTGGTTCAAGTTACAAGATCTTCATATTCAATATTACCATCAAAATGTCTTATTTAATATAAGTCGTGCTCTTGGTTGTCCATTGAAGGTGGATGCTCCTACTTACAATATAGCAAGACCTGCTGAGGCCATAATTTTAGTTGAAAGGGATATAACCCTCACAGATTTGAAAAGGGTTTGGATTGGATCAGAAGATGAAAGCTTTTGGTAGAACTTTGTGGTGAAACATAGACCTCTTTATTGCCACCACTGCAAAATTTTTGGTCACACTGTGGATATATGCTATAGAATCCACCCACCCTAAAAAAAAAAGCCTGCTGGCCCTCCAAAGCTGAATGCAGCTGTTGTTCCTTCTCTTGAGGTTGTGGCACCTCCCGATCTTGAGGTGGGAGAAATCTCAGGTGTGAAATCTTTGGTCCCATCTATTCCTATAGGCTCCTCAAACTTCTTTTGATTGTGACTTGGCAATTCCAACTGCCATTATCAACCCCTCAAAGGTACCACATGCTGAAGATCTAGTGGTAATTTCAACTCCCACATTAGCAGTTAACAATTCCATTTCTATTGAGGAGAGAAATTTGGAGGCTCGTACCTTATATGAGAGTTTATTGGATATTAATCCTCACCAATTGGATGACCCAACTCTAAACAAATTGACTGATGTGCTTACTGATGAGTGGCAAGTCAGAAAAACAACAACAAGAAGAAAGGTAGGCTGGAATTAAAACATTTATTGGAGGTTCATTATCTTGATGGTCCTCTCACAAACTCTCAAGCTGCTCCCTACCCCAGAACCAGAGGGAAGGGGAAAACCCTTTCTCAATGATTAATTTTCTATGTTGGAATATAAGGGGGTGTTTCACCCATTCTCCCTTAAAAGATTAATATATCTTATAAGAACTCACAAAGTATGGTGTTTTGCTCTCTTAGAGCCCATGGTCACTAAATATCCTCAAAACATTCTAAAAAAAACTCCCTAAGTTTACTCATTTTGCTAACCTCAATAACAAAATTTGGCTCTTTCCTAGATCTGAATTGCAGTGGTCTGTTATTCTCAATCATTCTCAATTTATCCATATTTAATTCTCCATTATTACGACTAAGGGATTCATCATAGGATTTTTTTGCTTTGCTCCAACGATGAGGTTAAGCATAACGCCAAATGGCACAGCTATTTTAATTCAATTATAAACATAATATTTAAATTTGAATTTATGGGGCGTGTGTGTGTGTGTGTGTGTGTGTATGTGTGTGTCTTAGCCTGACTCATTGGTTGCGGCCTTTAGTGTAAGTCCCTCGGGTCAACGGTTCGATTCCTATGTGTGGAATCGAATTGCACACCTTCTGGAAGGGGGGTCCACCCCTCGATCAGATTATGGGGTTGATCAGTCCATGCATACATCCATACATACATCCATCCACACACACACACACACACACATACATAAATGCATACATGCATACATATATATACATACATGCACACATGCATACATGCATACATATATATACATACATGCACGCATGCATACAGATATATACATACATGCACACATGCATACATGCATACATCTATATACATACATGCACGCACGCATGCATGCATACAAATACATACATACATACATGCATGCATGCACGCATACATGCATACATACATATACATACATACATGCATGCATGCATACATATAAATACATACATACATATATACATGCATACATACACATGCATACATACATATACATACATAGATACATGCATGCATGCATG